AAATTGATGACACCAAGAAGTTGCACGATTTGAGTGTTTTTAATGAGCATAATTACCAGGTAGGCAGCATACGCTTGTGCGAAAGCCTTCCCCTCCAGGGTCGCCGCCCTCATCGCCAAGTCCCGTGTTCGTCGTTCGGAAAGACCCTTGTCGGCGGGGAGGAGATGGATTGCACGACGGCAAAGGAGGTTTAATCAGGTGCAACGACATGAGCATATACCCTATACACGAAGTTCGGTTTGTTGTGAAAGAAAAAGTCGTCCTCCAACGAATTGATGCTTGTTAGCAGGCACCGAGCAAAGAGAGGCCTCGGGCCTTCAAAGATGATTCTCTATTAATTTATTCCAGACCCTCCAGAAACATACTTCACTTCATGGTCGATTGGCTCCTGTACAAACCTCACCGTGCCTGCTCAAGAACCGTCCTTGATTCTTTCGTTTCAAGCTCAAGCTATCATTTCCTCTCTGTCCCTGTCTCCTAGTCCTTTGCATCCTCGATACCCGATGCCCCGATAGAGAATTGAGTCTCAGCTTCCGGTAAGGTTGGCGAATCGTAAATCTGACAAATTCGATTTTCTCCCCTGCCTTTTCTTAAGCGCAGGCGTGTATGTGACGCGTGAGCGATAATGTTACCTCCGATTGGCTTTGTTTGGTCTTTTGCAAAGCTCATGCCATCAGGATTTGCCACCACCTGGTTTGTCAGCACGACTGCAACGCCAAACTCCTCGGACATTCTTGTCAACTGTCGCAAAAATTGCGCCAGCTGCATTTGCCGCTCTGATAGCTCCCCTCGCCCGCAGTAGTCCGTGCGAAACAGAGCCGTAGCCGAGTCCACCACAACCAGAGCGTAGCGATCTTCTGACATCATCGCCGACGCCATTTTCAAAAGATCCATTTGCTGCTCTGAATTGTGGGCGCGAGCGAAAGCCACGTTGTCCAAGACGGTATCGACATCTAATCCAAATCGCTCCGCAATGGCCACCAAGCGCTGTGGGCGAAAAGTCCCCTCGGTGTCGATGTACATTGCTTTTCCTTCTCCCCCGCCTTGGTCCATGGGAAGCTGACTCGTCACACAAAGGGTATGGCAAAGCTGCGTCTTTCCTGTGCGAAACTCGCCAAAAATTTCTGTCAATGACCCTGTCTCCACTCCTCCGCCTAGGAGAGCGTCAAGATCCTTCGATCCTGTTGACAATTGTATCAGATCTTTGCGAGTCTCCAGCTGTTGTGCGGCCGTCAAGAAACCCATGGGAACCAGCTTGTAAGCTATTTCCTTAATTTTTTGAGCTTTCTGGTCAGAAATGCCTTTGATGTCCGTGAGCTTGCGAAGTGTTGCATGAGTGATCGATTCGACTGTACAATACCCTGCTTCCATAAGTTTTGTAAGGTCTGTGCGATTCACACCGTGATGCTCAAGCTCGGTAATGTGACGAAAATTCACCACCACCTGAAAGATAGAAGGAAACGTGTATGCATGGTAAATGTTCAAATATTCCTACATCGAAATGCAGTCCAAAAACGATGCCGCCCTTTTTCCTAGCATGATTTTGCGATTCATAACCGCGGATGATGAATTTGAACACATTCTATCTTCACCCCAAGAAACAATCCACGTACCTCGTGCTCTCCTACTCCAGACGTTTGCTCGATCGTCGCATGCTGCTGCATTTCCGCCACTGCTGCTGCCATGATAGAGTACGCTTCAAGTTTACCACCGGATGTACTGTTGCGGTTGTCGTTTGAGTGTGAGCGAATGCTGAAGAGAAATGATGGCAGCATCAGAACCTCACTCTCCTAAGGAGTGACAAACAATCAGGATGCCAGGCAATTGAACGCAGACATAAAAGGACTCAAATGGCATTCCGAGCAACCAATACAATGCTATTAATTCGTGTAATGTGTACGAGCATCGGATATGGTCGCAGACATAGTAGAACGGGAGACGAGAATAATGAGGTATGCGGAACGTGATGCAGGCGCCAGGGGCTTTGGAGTCGGCGGTGAAAGCTTCCTCCGCGACCTGTCACACTGCCCTTTTGCCATGAAAGTGTCACGGAAAGGCAAATAGGGTCAACACACACTCTCATCCGTGTGACCACAAGGCAAATCATGCGCGAGGGTTCAGCGGTGACTCGGCGACCGACATTCAATTCATATGCACGCTTTCCCGCGTCACACCTCCGGCGTTGCTGCTGCTGCGGCTTGTTCCAAGTGAGGGAGGGGGTGCCCTACAACACACGCCAATATGTCCAATTAGAGCGGTGTAATGGACCACTTTTGCATGCACCGTCTCGCTCATCAAATGATTACCTCATGTTATGCCACAGGTTAGCCCTATAGCCGGATATGGGTACATTTAGAGGCGAAAGCGCCTTAGCCGCAGGATGCAGCAAGACGCAGGAGGGCAGAAGCACGACAAAGACCTCGCGTCCCACCCATCCCCACAAAATTTCCAAAATCATGCTTCTTCTTCTGATACTCGCAGCTATGACATTGACCGCGACACATGCAAGGTCGGCGACAGAGGTGGGAGGGAGTGGCGCGACACCCTCGAGCCCAACCACCTCTGGGAGGAAACGTGCGTTGCTCAGCAGTAAGGTAAAAGGAATGGTCCCAGCTTTCTTTTATGATGCTTGGGCGCATATGATTACTTCACATATTGATGTTTAAATTAGAATTGCTCACAGGAAGGGAGCATTGTATCTTTTTTTGGTCGTACACGTGCGTAGTGGAGCAATAGATGACACGAATGTGGTCAAGAGGTTGAATTTAGGAAATCAAATCAAAATGGGTTGTAAGGATTCTGGCGTGCTTATGCCGAGACGTGCACACAATTATCATTCATGAAATAGAAGAACGAACCCCAAGACGATGAAGCGAAGCCCACCCCCACCCGCAAGTCCAAAATGAGCCGCATGGCAGGGTCCCCGTCGGCGCGGAGGAAGCGAGCGCCGAGAGGCAAACAGGACTTTGCCACGCTTTCTTCCTCTAGGTCCTCCACCGCGAGTTTAGAGGATGACCCGGACGTGATCCCTTTCCTGGCCAGCACGCGCTTCAAGCGAGGGGAGGCGTTGACGTCGCAGGGAGGCGGTGGTCTCCTCTTCACTCTGGCGAGACGCGCGGGAAAGGCCTTAGTCGGGTCCTCTGCCTTCCGTTTCGTGGCGGAGGAGAAGATCTTTGAGACTGTCGCAGGCATGCTCGCCTACCGCATTGCCTTTCAATGGAGCAAGGACTCGACGGCCACGCGGAAAGCCCGCTTGCTCTTCACCCTCTATGTCTGCCTGTATCTGGGCGCGCTCCTGTACTCGCGGCAGCAGGCCATCGCACAGCAAGACGCGCGCACGCTCAAGGTAGCCGCGGTGCCCGCCGTTCTTTCCTCCCTCCTGGATATGGCGAAGAAGATGAAGAAAGGGGAGAGCCCGGGGGGATTGCCGGGGCTGGCGGGCCTGGCGAGGCCGCAGGAGAAGGAGATGACCTTCCGCGACTACGACTTGGGCCAGATCAAGGCAGCCTTGGACCGATTCTCGCTCTTCTTGGTGGGGATGACCTTCCTGCACTTCAAGATGAAGAACACGTACATGATCATGTACTGGGGGTAGGTGGCGGCCTCCCTCCTCCTCGTCCTCTCTCTCCCCATCGCTGGCTCTCTCTGTGCCCCTTTGCCCCGCACATGTCTTTCCCCCTCCTTTCTGCTCATTACCACATGCCCCCCTCCCCCTCCGGGTCTTGGTTGTCAACACCCTGCCGCCCCCCCTTCCTCCCCCCCGCCCTCCAGCTTGCTCGGGCCCCTCATGCTGGTCCGGGAGCCGCTGTTTCAAGTGCATGTCTTCGGGATGGGGGAGACGGGCATCAGAGAGAGACCCTTCGGGCCCAAGGAGGAGCCGGAGGCGGTGGAGGAGGGCGAGGGGGAGGAAGGAGGGGAGGAAGGGGCGGAGGCCGCGAAGGAGGCGAGGAGGGAAGATGATGTCGGTGCAAGGGGGCTGGAAGAGGCACAGGAGAAGGTGGAGGGGGAGGAAGAGGTGGAGGGGGAGGGAGAGGTGGAGGAGGAGGAAGGGGAAGAAGAGGGCGAGGGAGACGAAGTGGAGGGGGGAGAGGAGGTGGCGGAGGAAGAGGAGGTGGAGGAGGAGGTGGAGGAGGAGATGGTGGTAGAGGTGGAGGAGGAAGAGGAGGGGGAGGAGGAGGTGGAGGAAGAGGAGGAGGTGGAGGAGGAGGAGGAAGAGGGGGAGGAAAGTTGGGACGAAGAGGAAGAGGAAGAAGGATGGGAGGAGAAAGAAGAGAGGGAGGATGAGGAGGATGAGGAGGAGTCGTCGGGAGTCGAGGCTGACACGGAGGAAGCCGCGGTTGAGGGGGAGGGGGAGAGCCCGGCAGAGAGAGGGGGGGCTGCGGAGGCCCACATGGGGGAAATTGCCAGCGACCACGCGCAGGACGAGCACCCGGCAGCCTTTGAAGTGCCTACACTGGAGGATGACGTACACCCCTCTCCGGCCAAGGGGACGGCGGCGCTGACACCTTCGGACTTCCAGGTGGCGCGCGAGGAGGGGGAGGAGGGGGGAAAGGAGGGTAGGGAGTAGGAAGCAGGGAGGCGGCCAGGGAGTGATCCGGGTGGGGCCACGGGCAAGATGTGTATACAGTAAAGAAAGATTGCTGGCACGCAGCGGGGTCTGACGGAGGGGCCGGGAGGGGAGATAACGCCAATGCCGTTGCTTTGCCTTGATGATACTACAATACCCGCGTCCTAACGCACCAATCCACATCCTGAACCCCCTTTCCGTACACCTGCTCCTTTTTCGCACGCCTACCCTCCCTCAACCACAACTCCCCTCCCTCGTCCCCTCCTCAGACCGAGGGGACCGCCCCCTCCAGAAGCGCCACACAGTCCCCGACTGTTGCTCCCCCGCTTTCCATCCGCTGCTTCAATCGCTCTAGCAAGGCGCTGTGACTCCGCAACAAACGTTTGGCTTCTTCGTACGCCCATGGCAGGAGCACCTCCTCCTCCCTCCCTTCCTGCCCCCTCGCTTCCCCCCGCCCCATGAAAACTTGGAGTAAGGCCCTGGCCTGGCGGGCGTCCGAGGCCATCAACTGGGCGTAGTTCGCCTCCTCCACCGCCACGGGCGCGAGCAGGTACACCAGGAGTCTGTTCAGCCCGGCCGTGGACGAGAGGGTCTCTGCGAAGGCCGGCACCTGGGCAGTCATCCTCACCGCCTCCATCACGTTGGGCGAGAAGCAGAAGCAGGGCAGCCCCAGGAGGTAGGCGCTCAGAAAGGTCGCGGCTTGCACGTGGGCGTCCCGTTCCGGGTCTCGAAGGAAGAGCCGGTTGATCCCGGCCAGAGCCAGCGTCAGCTCTTGCCCTTTTCGCTGCGTCAGGTCCCAGACTCCCATCACGGCGGCTCCCCCCAACACCACCGAGGCCGCCGTGGTATCCGCGTGGAGGAGAGGCCCGACGGCCTCTACTGATAAAGCACCCCCTACGACAGTCAGGGCCGCTACACCTGCAGCCAATTCACTGGTGCGGGCGTCCGAGGGCACGGGTGAGAGGTCGTACCTGTCTGATGCTGCCCTGAGGGGGGGAGGAGGGTTTAGGGTTCCGACGCTCCGGGCAAAAGCGCGTGACACTCCATTCCGACGCGCCAGAAGCAGGCATTCCTGGATCACATTCAAATCCCGAGAAAGCGAAGCAGCGTCGATCAGGGCCGCGAAGCTTTTGAGCGTGATGCGCATGTCCTTGTCCGTCATCTCTTCCACCAGCTTGTAAAGGGGGGTAAACGCCTCCGATGTCGACCGGGAATTCCCTCCCATGCCTCTTCCTTTCTTTCCCAGCAACTGGACCAGACTCGATGCCCGACTTTGAAGTAGGATATTGTATTTCTCATCATCTGACAAATTATCCATCAATTCATCGTATTGCGAGGATGATGGGCCGGGAAGAGCCAAAGGAAGGGAGGTTGGACGCAACGGCTTCTTCTGCATTTCGATCTCTGCCTCCTGTTGTCTTGGTGGAGTAAAATGTCGCGATATTTTTCTTGCGCTTGGGCGTAAGGGAAGGAAGCTAGCAGGGCGGTGTGCGGGAGAGGCTGGGATGGGGACGGGGAGGTAGAAAGCCACGACTGGAGGACGACCAATGATGCCAAAGAAACCTAGCACGGCGAGCCGCCACGTTGAAGTACGAGATCCTGGTCTTTTCGATATGGAAGGTGTACCGGTACATCGGAAATCCCCAGGCATTGTGTAGCTTGCCTTTTTGCACGGGGCAACAAGTGTATCTGGTGCCGCTGGGACAGCAAGCCTTCTGTCGGGAGTATCGAGGAAGGAAAGCTGTGCCTCGACTTCCTGAAAATACCGGCAAGGGCGGTGAACTAGCATGTGAACAGAAATGTTGGGATTGATGTGAGGCTCGCATGTGTCGTGGCAGAGCAGCAAATTAGGATAAATTGCCTTGGTCATCCGCTCGCGGCTGAGGAGCTGAAGCGTCTACATCCGGGTATGCAGGCCCAGCGGGTTACGCACCCGAAAAGTGCCAGCGACATGCTGTTTGGAGGACACTACGGCGCCTTCGACTGATGGAAAGTAAAATTAGAATTCTACAGGCTATCTTATTTGCATGTTGTCATAGTGCTTTTAAGTCGTTGCTCCCCTGTAAATGAAGTTACGTTATAGTTGCCTATAGGCAAGCACAGGCAGTAGGTGCCTCTGAGTTATGTACCATCATATGCTCTACACACTTGTAATGATTATCAGTTTATGTCACCTGTTATCCTCTCATCTTATCGCTTAAGATGACCTTTACCGTACTTTGTGCCTTATACTTGAGTCTCCTGTCGCTCTCTGCTCTACGAGTCGGTCGTTACCATCGCCACCCCCGTCTCAGCCCCCCGCCCTTCGTTTAAAGTATTCCCATCGTCATGTTCGCGATTTGGTAGAATTGTGCGCTCCATCACCTTTTGAGAATTCTCGAGTCCCCACACGAAATATATGATCCATCCTATCGCCATCCACACCATCAGCCGGTAAATGGTGTGAGTGCTTGAAGTGCAAATTAGAAGAAAACTGATCGATGCGCCAAGACCTGGAATCAACCACGGTCCGAAAGGTACCTGGAACTTGCGCTCTAGATTCGGACGCCGATACCGCAGCACGGAGACACCTATACAGACGAGAACAAAAGCGAAAAGGGTGCCGACCGAGGTCAACTCGCTCAACACTTCGATGGGCAAGATCCCTGCGCACAGCGCACAGAGGGCCCCAGTGATGATGGTGGTGACCCAGGGTGTCTTATATCTGGGGTGGACCTTGGCGGCAAACGCAGGCACGAAGCCGTCAACGGCCATGGCGTAGAAGATGCGGGGCTGACTCATGAGGGAGACAAGGATGACCGAGGTGAGACCGGCGATAGCGCCAATGTTGATGACCATCTCCAACCACTCGTACCCCTCGATGCCCTCCACGGCATAGGATATGGGGTGGGCGATGCCCTTGAACTCGTAGTAGGGGAGAAGGCCGGTGGCAATGAGCGCGACCAGGATGTAGAGCGTGGTGCAGATCGCCAGCGAAGAAAGGGTGCCAATAGGGAGGTCGCGCTCGGGCTTCTTGCACTCCTGCGCGCAGCAGCTGACGCTATCGAAGCCGATGTAGGAGAAAAAGACAACGGAAGCCCCTTGGAAGATACCGCTGATGCCGTAGCGCCCGAAAGTGCCCTCGTTGGGCGGGACGAAGGGCTCCCAGTTCGACCGGTCCACGTGCGGGCCCATGGCGCAAATGAAAATAACAATCACCGAGAGCTTGATCGCGACGATGACAGCGTTGATCCGCGCGCTCTCCTTGATCCCGAAGACGAGCAGCCCCGTCATCACGAGCGCGATGGCCATAGCTGGCAGGTCCACGTAGTCGCCGGTCACATAGAAGGCTTCCCGGTGCACGTCCCAGCCCACTGGACTCCGGCTCCATTTCGTGGGCATGTCGTATCCGACCGAGGCCAGAAAGCTACGGAGGTATGCAGACCACCCCACACTGACAGTCGCGGCCCCTACCAGGTACTCCAGGCACAGGTCCCACCCAATAGTCCAGCCTACAAAGGAGCCCAGCGTCGCGTACGAATACGTGTAGGCAGAGCCCGCCACGGGAATGATCGAGGCCAGTTCGCTGTAGCACAGAGCCGCGAACATGGAGGCAATGCCTGCGATGACAAAGGATAGAACCACGGCAGGGCCCGCGTGGTTTGCGGCCGCCGTCCCGGTCAGGACGAAGATGCCCGTACCCACTATTTCTCCGACGCCGAGTAAAGTCAAATCGAAAGCTCCCAGCGTCCGATGTAATTCCGAGTTGGCCACTTGCTCCAACAAGGCATCCATGCATTTCGTTTTCAGCAACCGGCCGACGAAAGTTTTGATTTTGGGGCCACCCAAGCTATCGATGCAGCTACCCCCCGTGCTCCCGCCTGATAGAAGAGAGGTAGCGCTTTTTCGTGATGGGTAGTCCCTTACACTAACGCTGCTTCCAGTGTCAGCGCTGTCATTGCTTCCTGTTGCACTATGGTTGCCATCACCAGGTACACCTTGCGGTGTCGACGGCCCCATGAGGCCTGGAAAAACGATGTGTGGGAGTAGGGGTTTCTGTCGTGTAGATACCTCTCCCCTCGTCCGGCCTCCTGATTGTGGAGATAGTATGGCGTCCGTGTGAGCTAAGATGCTGTTCGCAGCTTTAATTTATCTTCTGAACTTTTCATGACTGAAAAATCCTTAGGATCTCAGAGAGGGCGTCACCGATCTCGGAAAATTAATTTCGCTCGCGTGCAGGCACGCGACCCAGCCAAAGACACGCATATGAAACAGTTGAGAGAGTCAAGATGCAAAACGGCGCCTCCATTCCATTAAAAATCAGTAAAAACGTGTCCCACTCCGCGTTTGAAACAAGACGTAAAGCATCGTAGGGCAACTCTCCATCCCAGAGCAGTCGTTGGCATTTTCACGGGACTTTACGCGGGATGCGGGCCATTTCGAAAAAGTTGCAGAACAAGCACCTCAAGGCGGCTTCCGGGTATCCTTCTTCTCCCTCACGCAGGGGAACGGAGGGGGAAGGACTGAGCGCTCGAAGGAAAGGTCGAGTAAACAGCTGTATGATTTCAAAAGTACACATTATAGTACAAATAACTGATCTGAAATGAATTGTTGTCATGGCTCTTTCTACGTGACCCTCAGTTGGCATATTCATCGAGCAGTAGTTTTTGTTTCCGTGTACAACGGGCGCTCATCTGTATGCGAAGCGCGGGTAATTTAAGGAGTAAAGGATTTCGGGTATCCCGACACAGTGAAAAATGGAGTGTCGTCCGCAAGTGCACCCATTCTTTCTCCGCAAATCAATGACGGGACGAAAAAACCAACTGCAGAACAAGATGAGCTCTGGTTGCGCGCCGTTAGGCGTCCAGCCTCTTCATGATGTTAAATCGTCACTACGTGTAGGCCTGTCTATTGATGGCAAATATCTTGATGTTTCTTCAACGTTACGATCAACCAGCCAAGACATATTTGCAACCTTCCTCTATACACCTCCGCTACAGCGCTTCGTCAAGCTCGGTCTTTTCCCTCTTTTCCCTGCGACCCGATACATGCATCCCTGACCATTCAAACGTATATACAAGCTTGTTCTCACGTTCGAATCGCCGCGCGCGCCAACAAAGGTGTAAGCGCGTGCTCCTCGTCAATGGCTCGCTCCCTCTTCCCAGCGGCCTCCAGGGCCTGCCCCAGCAAGGCGGCGCTCCCAGTCGGCGAGCCTTCCTCCCCCCCCCCGCTTTCACCCTCCTGGTCTGCCCCTGACAAGATAACATAGTCTTCCGCGACGAAGGAGTCCATGTCATACACGGCTTTCGCCTTCCTCCCTCCCCGGGACAGGCTCCACGACGACCACAACCCTTTCCGTGTCCGCCTGCCTTGCCGGGCCCCTGGCGGCGCCCGAAAGAAAGAGGCGTACGAGGGGGGGGGGATCGATGCATGTTCAAGGCCCAGGCGCGGTCCCGAACTGACGGACGACGTCAAGTGAGGCTTGGGCGCTGTCTTTACAGGCGGGTTGGGGAGAGAAATCACTTTCTCCATGCGCGCCAAGTGTGCCGCCTCCCACGCCCGGTCCTCCCTGTGCTCGGCGACGGCAGCCTCCAGCCTCCAGTCGGCCGCGTCCAGGTAGTAAGTGATCTCTTCCTCATCCGTGCATCGCGTGGCGTTGATGAACTGCTGACGCAGGACGGCCCTGGTAGGGCGCTGCCGATGTTTGAGGACGTGGCCCGCTGAGTCGCGTTTGAGCGGGATCTGCGGGAGAAAATGTGGGGCGTGAAAGGTGGTACGACAACTTAACAACGAGCGGTGAGAACGCGGACCGTGATTCCAAAAGGTGACTGTAGCATCACAGAGGGGCGACATCCAATATCTGTGACTCATGTATATGTAAATATACAACAACACAACACCGCCCGACATCGCACCTGCAGGGTCTGCAACATGTGGAATTGCTCCCCGCAGAAGTCGTTGAACATCCGAAGCTCAGCCGCAGTCACCTTGTAACGTAGACGAAGCCCCGCCATTGTGTCCGTCGGCAGTACAACGTGCGTCAGAAAAGCAGGTGCCGTGGCCCCCTCAACCTCATCCTCTCCGAGACCTGCCTCCTCCATCTCCTGCCCCACCGCATTTTCCCCTCCATCCGCTCCTCCTCCTTCCTCCGCATCCGCGACCTTGGCCTTCATTGTCTTTTCCACCAGCTCCCAACGGGTCGCGTAGCGTGTCCTGACGCCCTGACCTTGAGCCCCATCAAGTACTTCAACTACTTCAGCATTCTTTCCTCGGTCATGGTCGGCTGCATTGTTGCCAACCCTGTGACCCGCAGCAATTTTTCCCTCGCCTTCGACAGGAAACCCTAAATCCACTTCGAAACCAACCGGACTCCCGTCGTCTTCCACCGAGACACGCGTCTTCCGCCACATCAGCCCCTCAGGAGGTGGAGGCAACGGCTTGAGCATTTCCTCAAAGTCTTGATACTTTGTACCATCGTGACGCTGACGGCGCCAGGGCAAAAGACCGCCTTCCGCCATAACTCACTGCGCACCAAGATTCGGAGTCTAATTGCATGAGACACACAGTGGTTAGTGACCGTGATTCGATCAAAATTGAATGCGGTACGTGCTATGTAAGTGACGCACGTAGTAATCGCCTTCCGCAAGAGGAGACGAGTATCTCTCCCTCCCTCTCCGCCCTTGCATCAAATATGGCATGCGTACGCCCATGGAGTGACAAACTGGTGTGGACGTCGTTTCTCGAAGGACAACCAATCATCAGCTTTGCAAGTGCTGAAATGGGGCCGTCTGACTTTCCCTCCTACCCGTTCCTCCCGGCCCCCACGACCCTCTCCCTGACCTCCCCTCTCATGCACGCAGACTACATAGTATCACTGCGCCTACCTCACTACAGCTTCGTCATTACGACGACATGCCCAAACGTAAAAAGCAAAAAAGTGGCTCTGGCTGGGATGCATTGCCGTGGTCGACCGTGCCGGTAAGCAGACATGTCAAAGGGCTTACATCATGTTGGGGATCAGACGGAAGGGCGCGGGAGCATCGAGAGAAAGGCATTTCCCCCTCGAATCTTGATCATTTTATGTAGGGCTCCTGCATGCGAGAGAAAGAGAAATGTGCATTGTGGCGTCGCAACGTCCCCTTCCTTGCCTGGACATGGTTCCCCCTGTTCTTTGACCTCCTTGTATCTTGTGTGCCAATCTCCCGACCCGTCCAGGTGGAGGACGGGGGCCTGGGCGAAGTCGACGACTGCTTTGCCTTTACCATAGAGGAGGTAGATGGGAGTCAGTATGTTATGGAGAAAGATGCTACAGGGGGTTACAGCGTGAAAGGGGTGGGAAGCGGGCAAACCAGCGTGATGAGGCAGGCGGAACGAGGGAAGAAGCGGGGGAGAAGGCAGGACAATGTAACGGAGTCGACAAAGAATGTGACGCCACGTATGAAAACGGGAAGCACCTCGGATGAGACTAGTAAGGACGTGGAAGAGAGGGAGGTGCTCGAAATCAAGTACGAGAACGCGAGGATGGGGGAACCGGGGAAGCCTCCGGAGACGGCAGCCGATCGGGGTGGAATTGTTGACGGGGCGTGGGCTGGCGGCGAGGCGAAGTCCAGCATTTTCGTGGAAGGTTCTAAGAAATCAAAAACGCGCAAAGGCGAAGCGGCTGCTGCGGATGCAGGAGCAGCGGCGGTGCCCCATGCCCCGACCGAGCTGTCCTCCCCTTCCCCCCCGAACCCCCTCCCTGACCTGCGGGCCCAGCTGCCTCTGTGGGCCCCTCAGGCCCTGGATGGCGTGGAACTACACCCACTGCTCCTGTACAATCTCCAACGGCAGGGCTTCGTCGCCCCCACCCCAATCCAGCGCCTGGCCCTCCCGCAGGTCGTGACCCGTGGCGGGAAGGATGTGTTGGGGGCCGCCGAGACGGGCTCGGGCAAGACCTTGGCGTACGGACTGCCCATATTGAACTACCTGCTAAAGCAGCGGGAGAAGGCGGTGGAGGTGGAGGGCGGGAAAGAGGTGGGGGGTAGGGTCTCGGGGGCGCTTGCCGCCTTGGTCCTGTGCCCGACCCGGGAGCTGGCCTTGCAGGTGACCGGCCACCTGCAGGCGATGCTAAAGGGGGACACGGAGCCCGGGCGCGCCCGCATCAACGTGCAGGCCATCGTGGGTGGCTTGAGCGACGTGAAGCAGGCCCGGTTGCTGCGGCGGAGGCCGGAGGTGGTGGTGGCGACGGTGGGGCGGTGTTGGGAGATGATGAAGAGCTCGAACGAGAGGCATCTGAAGGAGCTGGGGCGGCTGCGCTTCCTTGTACTGGACGAAGCGGACCGCATGGTGGAGGAGGGGCACTTTCCCGAGATGGAATCGCTCTTGAAGCGTGTGGTAGAGCAGGGGAAGACTTACCAGCGGGACTACGACGCGCGGAGGCGGCTGTGGCGGGAGGAGGAGAAGAGGGAGCGGGAGCGGAAGCGCAGGGAAAGGGAGAGGGAAGAGTGCAAAGCACAGCAGGAGGAAGTTGTGAAACGAGAGCGAAAAGAGGAGGACGGATTACAGGAGGAGGAGGAGGAGGAGGAGGAAGAGGAGGAGGAAGAGGAGGAAGAGGAAGAGGAGAAGGAGGAGGAAAAGGAAGACCTGCTTGAGCCTGCGGAGGTGCCGACGAGATCGCTGGAGGACGTTGTGAAGGAGGCAAGGAGGCTGGGCCTGACAGGCCTGCATGGTTTGGAAGAGGAAGACAAAGAGCGAGCAGGGGGGGAGAGTAGTACTGAGGGCGATCCCGAGGGAGGAAGAGGAGAAGAAGACGATGGGTTGGATGGTGTGGAGAGCGGCGTGGGAGGACAGAGGCGCCGGGCCCAAAAGAAGCGCGCGGGGGAGGGGGAGGAGCCAGAGGTAGATGAGCCTGGTGAGGGAGGCGCGGGAGGAGGAGCGAGCGACAGGGCCGTCCGGCTTCGCCCCCTGCCTCCCCCGGTGACGCGACAGACATTGATCTTCAGTGCCACCTTGATCATGCCAGAGGAAACGCGGGGGAAAATGGGCGGGAAGAAAGCGCGTGGCCCCAAGAAAGGCAAGGGGCGGGGCGATGTGATCGAAAGGATCATGCGAGACGTAGGCATGCGTGGGAAACCCGCCGTCCTTGACCTCACCAGCGGCACCGGCGAGTCAAGGGAAAGTGGCAATCCAGCATCTTCGCATTCGGAGGGCCAGCTGGCCACTACACCCACCTTTGCCGCTTCCCTCGCTCCCTCTGGCACGCCGTCACGGCCTGGCAACACCGTGGCTCTCCCTGCGGGCTTGAAGCTTTGCCACGTCAAAAGCGTGGGCGCGCACAAGGACGCGTACCTGTACTACTTCCTCCGCCGTCACCCCGGTCGTACCATCGTCTTCACCAACAGCATCGACCAGACCCGCCGCCTCGCTCAGCTTCTCTCCCTTCTCAGGCTCCCCGCCCGCGCCCTCCACGCCAAAATGCAGCAGCGGGCCCGCCTGAAGAGCCTTGACTGCTTCCGAGCCCAGAGGCAGGCAGTGCTGGTGGCCACTGACGTGGCTGCTCGGGGGCTGGATATTCCCCTTGTCGAACACGTCATTCACTACGATATGCCTCGCTCCCTAGAAGTCTTTGTGCACCGCGCCGGTCGTACTGCGCGCGCGAATCGGGAGGGTTTGAGCTTCTCCATGGTCGCCCCCAGGGACGAGAAATTTCATGACGAGGTCTGTCGGGCCCTCTTCGCTTCCAGTCCGAGCCAGAGGCCGGAACACCCCAAGGAGGCAAGCGGAGGCTCCGGCGCGGGCATGCTCCCGTTTCCGGTGGACCTTCAGGAATTGAATGCAACGCGTGAACGGGTCCACCTGGCGGGCAAGATAGTCGGGCACGAGCAAGAGACTGGGCGGCAGCAGGCCACCCAGTCCTGGTTCTTGAAGCGGGCGAGAGAAGCGGATTTGGATCTGGACGAGGAGCTTCTGAACGAGAAAGAGCACGGGACAGAGAAAGAAAGGCAGCGATCCCGGCAGATGGAGATGGATCGGAAGCGCCTGAACGAGTTGTTGTCGCAGCCAATGGTGCAGCAACGGAGGAAATTCATCAATGTCGCGGACAGCCTGCAGGCCCTGGCCCAGACGGAAGAGTGCAAGGATGCGATAAAGGCCGTCTCACAGTCAGCACGCCCGAAAATAAGGAAAAGGACTGGATTGTGAGAAAGGGAGGAGAAAATTTTGACATATAAAGGATGAACACATCTTCGTCCAGACGACTTTACCTGAGCCAGAATGCAAATTATGGGAGAGAAGAGTGCAATGAATTTGCCGTGGATTTTTTGATGGCTCCCTCGTACATACTTCTACTTTATACATTTTGGCTTCCGGACACATTTTTTCTGTACAATTTGAGCTTTTCTGTCTCGAAGGTGGAGAGATTCCGTTTCCCCTCGTAGGACACTCCCGCACGCGCATACTTTTATGCTTCAAAAATTCCAACCCCGAAAGCACTATCTTACATCTCTTGCCATCCGTATAACATGTAGATTGCACCTTTTCCCAACATATCAGAATTTTGTAAATTGACAGGTGACTGGGCCCCTCATGCCTCCTTCATCCCCATCTTTGCCTTGTTACGTCTCTAAAACCTTGCCAGACAGTCCCTTCAAGAAATATACTTTACGCAGATAAAGAGGAGGAAAGATCGACAAAAGCCTCATCGTCACCATGGATCTTCCACAGTTCATTGCCTTGAACGCCTTCCAGCCTTCCTTGTTCAGCTCGAGCCTTCGCTCGTTGTAGGGGTGATTGTAACGCCGCAGCCTCAATGCGGGCCGCTCTCTTCTTCTCATTCCTTTTTCTCCTCTTCCTCATATTTTTCAATTTCCGCAGCTCGTCCGGTGATTTGGCCCCGAAAATTTGAAAGTCAAGGAGCTTTTTCTCCTCTGCTTCCACCTCCTCATCCTTCACGTCCTCGCCGTCCACTTGAAAGACCGACATAGACTCCGCCTCGCCCGGAGAGATCTTAAATGTGCCCAATGTCACACTGCCTTCTTTATTATAATCGACAGCGACAGCTACAGAAGCAGAAGGAGCCATCCGTGCACGTTGTGACGAGATGGACGAAGGAGAGGGATTCTGCGAGCCCGCGCCATTCCCAGTGCTCCTCTCCTCCTTCGACGTCAGCATTCTCTCGTTTGACCATGTGTCCGACGAAATGACAGGCGTACCCGACAAAGATGAGGGGGACGACCGAGGAGGCGAGGCAGGATGCTCGGCGGTAGTAGACAGGTTCGCGTCAATGCGCCTTGGTGCGTACGCATCCTCAACTGTCTCATCGTCATCCCCATCTTCCTCATCGTCGACCCCTCCCTCCTCTCCTTTTGCTTCCACGCATCGCTCTGGCGACCACTGCATCTCGACACTTGCATGATCCTGCCCATTATCATAACTCTCTTCTCTATCCTCGCCGCCATTTGCATCTTTCCCATCCCCTGTCTTGATATCCAACTCCTCGAGCTCCTCCATCTCCCGTTCCTCTTCCTTGCCCGTTATCATTTCCTCTTTCTTAATCACTTTTCCTGTACCTTCTCCCTTTTCTCCTTGCTCCCCATACTTCACCTCCAATTCTTGAAAGCGTGCTTGCAACGTTTTTCGCAGGCCGTCAACGTCCTCTTGACTGAAGACGTCCGCCCTGATAAAATCCCGCAATCGACATGCCAGAGCTCGCTTGGTCCAACGCGCTAGGGTAGGAAGGACGTCTGCGAGCATCATCTCGCCGTACTTCAAAATGAACACGCCGCAGTCACAGCTGTTGTCCTGTGTTGGCACCCGTGGTTTGATGACTGGGAAAGTCTCCTTGCTCAAGAAAGGCGAAGGTCCATCGCCTGGTGCTTTTCGACGCTTCCATTCCACCTTCAGGTAGTTCAAGAGCGCCGTGTGGATTTTATCCGCCCGGTGCGCGCTCAACGAGTCCATGAACACCAGGCAAGGCCTGCTTCCCACGTCCACAACATCTTTTCTGCCATCTTCCACGTCGGTTTTTCCATCACGTCCCCTGTCCAAACCCTGTTCCTCGCCACTGCCCCTTCTTCCTTCCCATCTCGCACTCTTTCCTCCTGTCTCCGGCTTCTCCTCCATTTCATGCGACGATTCCATACTCCCCACCCCGAGTTCATCCGCGGCCAGCACGTCGCCTATGGTCAAGTCCAGGCTATCCCCTTCTTCCTGAGGGCACCGATCGCCCTCCTTCTCCTCCTTGCTTTGAGAGGAATCCCCACTCCAAGGCTCACCAACATCCATCGCACCATGTTTTGTCTGGTCTTTGCTCTCCCTCCCCACGACGTGTTCCCCCTGTCGCCCTCCCGCCGCTCTCGCCTCCACTAAGAGCCCAGATCCTGAGTCAGCGGCTGACTGTGGCCTTGTCGACAGCCACTTTTTCTTTTTTCGGCCAAGACTTACGACCACTGGCGGATCCCCTGGCTCCTGACTCTCTTGCACTCCCACGTCCACAACGCGATCACCTCCCTCTCCTTCCCCCCACCTATCCAAATGTTTCTCCTTCAACCACGACGCGTTCTCCCCTTCCATCGTGGCCGACTTGCGAAGGCGCTTGCGTTTCGATTTTTTGTGCACAGGCGTCTCGATCGGAGCTTTCCCCTCGTCATCAGCTGTTAATGGCTCGGTCGCGGGATCCACAAGAGATTGAACCCGATCAAGATTGCAGAGAACGGCCAGGCTCCAGTGCAAGGCCTCGTTGATAGGGACAAGCACCATTTTCTTACTGAACAGGTCCACATTCTTCGTCCAGCGCTGCACCAGGCTGTGCGCTGCCTCGTATTTTTCCTCCTCTCGGCGCTGGCGCTCCTTGGCCTGTATCTCCTGTCGAGTTGGCGCTTTCGTGACGGGCGATGGCGAATCGGGGGAGAAGGAGAAGGCTAGTAACGGGTCCCAACCCTCTTCAGTGGCGGCTTCCTTTTCCACCCGTCCCTTGGGCCCGGCCTTCTTCAAAAGCTCAATGTCATCCCGGTCATCCTCATCCCTCGGCGCCCTAACCTCCGACATGGGGGTGTGAATATCCTTCTCCCCCGCCCTCTCCGTCCCCTGCGTCTTTCCAGTCGCCACGATTTGCTCTTTTCCCATCGTGGACCCATCCTCCTTCATGTTGTCCTTGCTTCCCTTTTTCTGCGTGGCGCTTTTGAAGTAGAGCGATGACCGCTTTATGGCTCGTGTGATGGAGGATGTTTCCGTCAATTTTGAATAAAAATGCGTCGAGAAAATATGCACGTCTCGCAGCCCTTTCCGCTTCTCGTCTGCCAGCCCAACGTCTTCTACACACCCAACGCCGCAGTGCACGAGCCACTTGAAATGGAAGTCAATGACGTTATCATTCAGAAACTCCCCTTCTTCGAGCCTCACTCGGTCTAGGGACGTCAAAGCGACCCGGTCAGGCGCCTCGGGGTGCAACGGGAATTTGAACAACAACCGGGCTTCCTCTTCCCCTACCAGAGGACCTCCTCCCGCGCCCAGGTGCTCGTAGAGGCCTGCCTTGGCCGAGTCTCGGGTGCTCCGCCGAGTCGACCGACGAAGCCACGCCTTCTTCTCTACTGCCTCGCCGCCCCCCCGGCCCTCGCCGAGCCCCTCCGCGCCGCTTCCCTCTTGCAAGCCTTCTCGCACTCCGGTCAAGAGCTCTGCCGCGCTGTTTGTTCCCTGGGCCTCGTGGATGCGCGCGATCATGCTCGTGACCTCCGGACGTGCCCAATCTTTCGGGTGTGGGAAGAACCGAAACGCCGCGAGCGAGTGGGACGACCCCTGTTCTTCCACCCTGTGGAATAATGCGCGAAGGGACGCCTGGTTCTCGTGGCGGGCTCTGGCCTCTGGTTGGTGCATGGAGGTACCCGTACTCATCGGATCGAGCTGCAAGACATAGAGCCGGTGCTTATCCTCTGGGAGGGCTTGACCTCCTGCACGGGCTGTCTTTCCGCTCCCTTTGCCGACGGCTTTGCTCTCGGCGAGCAGGAGCAGGTAGCAGTCATTCAGTTCCGCAAGAGGGCCGTAGGCATGGAAGGCGGACAGGTTCCGGAAAGGGATGGAGAGCTCGCCGTGCAGGGCGGGGGCTGCGAGGTAAGAAAGCGAACAAGTGATAAGGTCCGTCATCCTGCCAAAGGCTGGCTCGGACTTCTTTCTGGTCATGCACACTTACCGGGCACGTTCCTCGGGCCCCAAGCCAAACGAATTCTCTTTTCGCGAAGAGACACGGCTATGCAGCATCCAAACAGGGGCCTGCGTGGGAGACAAGGCGGGCGCGGGACGCCGGGCATCGATCAAGAGGGTCGTGAGCGGAGGGGTCGGCCCGTCGTGGGTAGGTACAGACAAGGCCTCAAGTTCCCCACGACCAGGTACCCAGACAAGTCATGCTCACCGTGCGTCCCACACCGGTCCGAGAGCCACCGCGCCGTCTGGCCCCTCTGTCAGGCCCTCTGAGCCCTCCAGCCAATCTGATGTGGGACGTGGGGGAGTATGCGGGGATGAAAGCGATGTTAGTGCTCCTTCCCGCCCCCGCACGTCTGTCCTATATCAGGACGATCCCTCCTCTCACGCTTGCAACACCTCCCTCGTTTGCAGACCGAGGCTATCGGGGATACCCCCCTTGCCCCCCCCTCACCTGCCGACGCCTCCCCCCTGAACACCACCTCGGCCGTAAACATGGGGTCGCCGAGCGAGAGCGCGGTCTCCTCGCCCCTTCCTGTCTCTGCAGGCACACGTGGACCCGAGTCCTGGGACCCATGCCGTCTCTCATGGCTCTCCTCCTCCTCCGAGACCAAGTCGATCGTCCCTCCGCCTACCTCCACCCGAGGGCCCACGACCGTCTTTCCCGCCCTTTTCGCCGCTTTGCCTGCCCCAGCCTTCCCCCGTGGGTGCTGATGCCGCTTGGGCGACTTGGCGAACATACCCTCCCCTTTCTTGACCGTGCGAGAGCTCTCTTTCCCCAAGACCGACAGCGAGAAGCCTCGCGGCTCCTCCACCTCTTCTTCGCGCCACAGATCCTGACCGAAGGCCACCTCACTCAGCCCCATCAACCGCTGCCCGTATGTCTTCCGCGTATGACCACAGTCTCTCCGTCTTGACGACTCAGGTTCCCGCTTCTCGCCCTGAACGCTGGGACCGCGTGGGACCAGGCTGCGAAACATCGCCGCCGCGCCCGCCGGGTCGGCTACCTGCCTCACAGGCGGGGCGCGAGCAGCCGACGAAACCGGGTACGGGGCCTGGAATGTATTTCGTTCATCTGAAGGCGGTCTCGGAGACGCTCGTGCAGCTTGGATGCCCCCGTCCGCTTTCTTCGAAGGGGGATGGAACAATGATAGTAGTAAGGAGGATGAAGCATGAGGAGCAATGAGCGAGCGCAAGTCCAAAGGACAAGAGCGAGTCTGCACCGCTTACATGCCCTGGTCAATCAACACGGATTTCAATGCTCTGTTCGTCGCCTGGACTTACCACCGAGCTTCCGCTCCCTTTCCCCGAACCGGCACCAGAGCTCGAGCTAGAAGGCGAAAAGGCCGGAGCCCGTCCTCCACCGCAATGCCGCAGGTCATCACTTGTGCTGGTCGCCGTGGGGCTACTATAAGAATCGAACGTAAAATTGTCATTCAAATTTGTACCACTGCGTGCAAGCGAAACGTCGTTCGCACTTCTTGGTCCTCCTCCTCCTTTTCCTCCTCCATCTCCCCCTCCTCCTCTACCTCCTCCTCCTCCTCCCCCTCCATTCCTCACTGCTCCCAAACCGACACCAATTTTGTTGTAGCTATAACTGCCATAACGGCCAGCGCTTGTCAGCTTGGAGCGAAAGAGGTCCGTTTCTTGCCCCACTCGCGCGGTCAGGCCGTGACGTTTCTTTTTCGTTTGACGAGAGCTGTCGTGCCCGCCCCACTGCCTTGCTGATTCGTGGTAGCCGTGGCCAGCGTCCGATGAAGGATTGGGCCTAGGACCTCTATGCATTCCTACGCAATCCACTGGCCACCTTGAAGTGTACTGCTTATGCTTGCGGCGGTACTAAAGAAGAGGGAGGAATCCCAGAGGGAGGAGCAGCCCCCTTCGACGAATGCACCGTGGCTAATCCGCCTTCCTGAAAGCCATGAACCCCATAAAACGGCTCCCTGTAATTCGTGACAATAAAGAGGGAGAATCAACTCGTTAGGTGCAACGTATTTCTGGCAAGTTTGCGTGGCCGGTGTGGCAGGCGTGACCGGACTTGCGCCTCGCAGCAGTGGAGTCGTCGATCAGAGCTTGTGGTGACAAGAACAACCGCCTTCTCGTTCCTGATGAATTTCCTCCCTGCTCACATGCACATAGCAGACGCAAACACCGACTGCAGAGCTCACTTTCCGCTTGTTGTGGTACAGTTGTGTCGCCATGTCGACGGTAAGTGTTCCTTTCCTTTTTATATGGACAAATTTATTGCACTTCTTTGTTCCAAGGGTAGCGCTGGTCCGAAGGCAGCGTTTTATCAGTTTACTTTCCTCTGAGTGGCGATCTATAGTTTGCCACACACATTTCCATCTTAGTAGGTATAGAAGGCTTGTACTTTGTTTTAAGTGCACGTATTTTCTAACCGTAATACGCTGTGCGGCCTTTCATGCGGAAAATGACTCCCCGTTGCCGTTCTACTGTAGGCGCTCTCCATACTTGGAGTTGCTGGTTTCATGGAAGCTGTGGCTACGCCCTTGGGGCTTTGGACACCGGCAACATTCTGTTTGGTTGTACAATGGCTCGCCTTTATTCCTGCATACTTTTGGAGGACGGAGATGTTTTACGACCTGACAGGAAGCCTCACGTTCCTCGCTACCATGTTCCTGAACCTGTATCACGGGCCTTGGCCCCCACACCCACGGCAGCAAATGGCTTCTTTTTTCATTATGGTGTGGGCATTCCGCCTAGGTTATTTCCTGTTCACCCGCATCTTGCAACATGGAAAAGACTCGCGTTTTGATACAGTGAAACATGAGCCGTTGCGCTTTCTGCAATACTGGACCGTGCAAGGCCTGTGGGTTTTCCTGACTTGCTTGCCAGTGCTCATATGTAGCACGAAAAAGGATTCAAACATGCGAAACCCCGACTGGCCCGTGCCGTCCGATTTGATAGGCATGCTGGTCTTCTCACTCGGCCTGGGCCTCGAAATGCTGGCTGACTTCCAGAAGTTCCAGTGGCAAAACGACTGGCAACACCGGGACGATTTCATTAACATAGGATTATGGCGGTACTCCCGGCATCCCAATTACGCGGGGGAGATAGTGCTGCACTGTGGGGTCCTTCTCCTTGCCTCAGGCTCGTATGATCGGCCGGTGGAATGGGGACTTGCACTCCTGGGGCCTGGCTTTATCACCACCTTGCTCTACGGAATCAGCCTGCCCATGGTGGAGCGAAAGGCAAACATCCGCTGGAAAGACAACACCTCGTACAAGACATACATGCAAAAGACCCCGGCGATTTTCCCGTTTCCTAAATGGTCGTGAGTGGAGGATGTCGAAAGAGGAAGCGAAGGCGTGCCCGGAGCGACCGGAGGGAGTCTTGGCGAGAGGAACACAGACATGCAAAGACACTGTCTAAAAACGTGAAGAGCACGAAAATAGTGAAAAATGAAGGGCAACAAGCTGTACATAAAAAATAGGCCATGGTTGACCCAATTTGTAGTCACCGTACCCCGCGCTTAACGGGCTCGAAGGTCGATCCAACCTGATCACATGCCAATGCTGTTACGAGCAATATATTGGTATGGCGTTTAAGATCGACGTGTCTTTTTCGTTGCAATGAAGACATGAAGTCGGCAATAGACTGGATACACAGCATCTTGATTTCCAACCTTTCCTTCTGCCTCTCCTTCCTCCACCGTCTCCTTCCATTACCCTCCCTCCGTTTCGCTCTTTCCTTCCGTTCACAAGTCATCCTTTCCAGTACAATCTCATGTCATCATTTCAATACCTTCAAGAGTTCCCACTGTTGTTGGCGAAGACAAAGTGGAAGACCACGTACAGCAAAATCGCCCACCACACCTGGAATCCCCCCCCTGCCTTCTCCGCCGCCCCGGCCTTCACAGGCTCTGAGACCCGGCTGGATCCGCGTTCTCTCTGTTGCCGCAAGCGTTCCTCCATCTCTTTGATTTTCCCGGTCGGTGTTGCCTTGATCACAGGGCCGCCACTTAGCGTCCCCGCCGCCGACGAGCCCCCCCCGAGGCTCCTGTAGTTCCCTCCGCTCCCGCCGCTGGCCTGTTGTTGGTAAGTTGATTTCCGTCGTTGTCGGTAGCGGATGCCGAGATTGCGTCAGATTTGGCCGTGGGGGGCGGTGCGGTCGTAGGAGGGGAGGAAGAGGTGGAAGTGGGAAGGGAGAAGGGTGAGGAAGAGGAGGAGGAATGGTTAGAGAGGGCCGCCGCGCGACGAGCCTGGTACAAGAAAATGAGATAGAAGGGGTATCGAGTCAAGAGAAAGAGACACTACAGGCCTTCTGGCGTCATGCACCTCGGACTAGGCAGAGACAGGGGGGAGGGATGAGCCGAAGCGGACCGCAAGTGGCGAGTTTTGTCAGGGAAAAACATGTTGAGAGGACAGAGAGACAATTTATAGATATATGTAATATATATGTATGTGTGTGTGTGTGTGCAAAATGAGAATCAAGGGATCCAGCCTCCTTTGAAATCCAACGACATGAAGAGCACGGCCGTACCCGAAGGCGGGGGCTTCCTCACCCTTTCTTCAAGGACACCACCCAGGAACGGCACTCGCGCACCCCCCACGACGCACCTGAATGGACTGCATGTTGACTTGAATGTCGCGCAGGACCATCAAGATGTCCTTGTTCTGAGCCTCCAGGTGCTCCATCTTCTGCCGCGCCTGCTCGTCCACATCCACGTATAAGAACCCGCACAGGCACCGACAGCCATTCATGAAAGCCGGGAACAGCGACCGCATCAGAAAGACGAACTCGTGCTCTGTCCACGTGGGCAGGAGCCAGCTCGGAAGCTTCGTCTCCTGTAGCATGAGGGAGATCTCCGCGATCAACATAGCAATCTGTCCAGTGTAGATCCAGTTCCGGGCAGTGCTGGAGGCTTTCCCCAGCGTCAACACGAAGGCCAGCATGCCCCACGTTACGTAGAAGACAGCGATCTCCAACAAGAGTTGCGTCTCGTCAAAGCGTCGATTTTGCTTGATACCCTCGGCACCAAACTTATTATAGACTTCTCTCAACTCCGGGTCCATCAACGTATCATATGCCTCTTTCACCCGGGCAAATTCTTCCGCCGCGGTAGGGCTCTTGTTTTTGTCAGGATGCAGCTCTAATGACATCTTTTTGTACGCCTTTTTGATTTCCAAGGGGGTTGATGCCCGCGTGATGTGTAGCTCATTGTAGTGGTTGGGGCCGCGGTCTTGAAACTCCAAATATGTTTTACCCAACGCTAAAATGGCCAGAAAACTGATTGCGTAGGTTATCCCGCGTTTTCGAGGAAAGCGTCCTGGCTTCAGGAACCAGGAAGTCAGGGGGTACACGAAAAGGATGTAAAAGAAGAACGAGACGAGACCGTCCTCGCCTTGAGACATGACAACTAAGGGAGGGCAGCTTCGTGTATGCTACCAAGCGCGCCGGTCCTAGCCGCAAATGTCAACGATAGGAAAAATTTAAAGACTTAGTCTTGTCGCGAGTGGCAGAGGTCACCAAACTTTGTTCGTGTGGTACGTCCTCCCGGCAAAGACGACGGTGCTGCTTCGTGGCCCGTGTCCTCCCCTCTTAACCCTGAAGAAGCGGGGAAAAAGACACGCAATGTGTCCGTCGAGTCAGAAATTCTCAAACAAGAGCTCTACTACGCATGCATATGCTCCCAAGAACACGAAGTTGGCCAGAACCAGTGTCCTCGCCGCTCTAGTTACCGGGCGGCGTTGCGTCGAGCGTGGCGGGCAAGACACTGGCGAACAGAGAGGCCTAAGAGCCTTCCCCCCGCGTTTGGGACGTTCTCGGCTACATGATCAGAGGAAATACTGACCTGTTGCACGCGGAAATATGCTCCACAACCACTTTCACCACAGCATTCAAGGACAGGCTGGCGGGACCGACGGGTTCACTCACAAATTGCCTCCAGCACTGTCCGCGGGATCCCCCACCTCCTCACCTCCCCTGTTCAACTTCAGTCGAAAGAGCTTAATGACGCCTTGAATGTCCTTTAGCCGCGGATATTGCATTTTTAGTGCATTTACCATCCTTTTCGACAATTCCATGTCACTGTCCCTGCAATTACCACGTTTTTGCCATGCTTTTCTGCGGTTTCCAGGGACGAATGCCGGCGTTTCGCATGCCATAAACCTGCACAAAAGGGCTATTAGCACGCAAGGCGTAACCAGATGCGCCGCAACCTCGCGTTCTGCCTTCGATCCCGAGCAGGCGCGACTCTTCGAAGAAGAGCGGATTGTCGCAGTGACTTTCGATGACAAACCCCTCAAACCCATTTCCAAGCGGGCAGGACATGAAAATCGAAAGGGCCCGCCTTTGCATCGAGCTTTCTCCGTTTTCCTGTTCGACACGCAGAATCGACTGCTCTTGCAAAAGCGTGCCCCTACCAAGATTACATTTCCCAACGCTTGGACCAATACCTGCTGCTCGCACCCTTTGTGGAGCGAGCACGAGCTCGGGGACGACCGGCAGGACCCTGTCCTGGGCTGCAAGCGCGCAGCCATTCGGAAGCTCGAGCATGAGCTCGGCATCCCAATCTCCTCTCTGAGGCATGAGGACTTCATTTACATGTCTCGCATCCACTACATCAGCGACTCTGGCGCCGAGTGGGGGGAGCACGAAATCGACTACATTCTGCTGGCTCGGAAAGACGTGGTCCTGACACCCAACGAGAACGAGGTCTCCGAGACGCGCTACGTGGCCGCCCCCGAGCTCAAGGCCATGATGCGCAGGGCGGAATTGCACCGGGGCGAGAGTCCGGAGGTCATACTGGCCGAAGACGCGGCGTTGGGCGGGGCACAGGGGGTAGGAGGGCGGGACCCGGAGCAGGAGGACGTGCGGGGCCACATTTACTTTACGCCCTGGAGCCGGGCTATCATGGAGCGATGGCTGTATACGTGGTGGCCGGATGTGGGCGCGGATATGGGCAAGCTCGAGAAACACCGGGACACAGCACGGATCCATCGGATCGGTCGCGTGGATTGAGATGGGGCAGGAGCCCCGAGACAGGGACTGAGCAGCTCTGAAATCGATTGTTTTAAGGAGGAGGAGGAAAGAACGATCACACAATGATGTGTGGCTGCGAGAGGAGCACGTTGAACTATGCATTTCTTTCTCAAGGGGTACTTTCTTTGATGGTCGCATCTCAATCCCGGCCCGCTCATCATCGCGTCCTAGTCATCTATCCCTTTCCGTTCACAAACTTGCCTTGGACTTTCCTCGCGTACATCAGACGCGCCACGTGGGGCGAGGTCACCAGCTTCCCCAACACATCTTCGATGCCGTTCTCAGGGTGGCGGCTCGCAAAGGCCTCGAAGTCCAGCAGGTTCAATCTTCCGTCCCTGTCCGCATCCCACCGGAGAAATATCATGTCCACCATAACACCAATTATATCCTTGAATGGCGCGGCCTGACTCTGTACGTAGACCGGCTTAGGTACAACGCCCTCCGAGGAAGCAAGAGGAGGCGCGAAGTCCCATGATACGTCGTCATTGTCCCGTTGAAATGAGGCCATGACTCGCTGCGGGCCAGCTTCCACCTCACTGAGCGTGGAAAATATTTCTGTGCACAATGCCATTACATGGTCCTTATGGAGATAGACTTTACTGGCTGCCGCCGTAGTGGAAGAGGAAGCAGAAGAGCACTTTGGCTCGTACATATGAAAAATGACGCGGAATCGCTCTACGGGACTCGCATGCTTGAAAAAGTACATCGCGCCCACATGCTCTTGGTACTCTAGTGCGCCCGTACCATTGGCGTCTAGCACTGTAAAGAGGCGGCGGAGGAGCCGCTTCATGCACGGACCAAAGCCCTCCCCAAGGAGGGCAACAAATTCTTCTCTAGTGATGAGGACAGGCGCGAAGCGAAGAGATGCCTGGCTGCTGTTGTCTTTCTTTCTACCAATATACAAGTTTCTATGTGTTACTTGATGGTGCCGTGTCGCGGATGACGGAGAAACGGGGAAACGGTCCTCCAGCGCGAGCATCTCCTCGGGGCCGAAAGCCTTGAGCATGGTGTCCACAGTGGGAAGCAATTGTGTCGACCCTTTATTCCCCATACTACAAGTCTATATAAACTCAGTCTGCATGGCTTCAAGGCGACTCGGCTGTAGAGGAAGAGAAGGTTGGAGGTAATAAAACGGTATGCTTTGGGGATGGACAAAACAGCTAAACTTGATAAACGCGTAGCCATCAATGTCATCGTGCGGGTATAATCTCAACGTATTATGCAAGCGACCACTGCAACAACATAATGAAAATCGTCGCTGATGTACGTAGTGGACTTCGCGCATGTATATTAAAAAAATACCACAGGAAGAATTGGCACTGGCCACCAAGGACAAAAGCATGTAGCTGGGAGGTTAATGCTCGAGGTAACATGCATAAATCCCCCCCCCGCTTTTTAGATCAAAATAAATCTAATCGAGGTAACATGCAAAAATCCCCCCCCCAGCTTTTTAGATCAGAATAAAGCTAATAAAATATAGCAACAGTACGGAGAAAGTGTTCTAAAAGTCACAACGCACAACAGCTTTTTGCATGTTTTTTAACTTGTTCGCATATCGACACGACCGCATCCCCACCTATCTTCCCCGACGGCTCCCCGAGCCGCCCATACCACCATGCCTTTGTGCGTCGCGCATTATGTACGGGCTTTTGTCCACGTAGTCGCCCCGAGATTTCTGAATGTTGCGGGTCAAGTCTATAAGCAGTCCTCCATCGATCCGAGCACAGTAATCTTTAGGCGCCCCGTCATCCAAGTCGTCACCTTCCCCTTGGGCTGCGATGGAGCGAAGTTTGTGTTTCAGTCGTGTCTCTGGCAACGTTACCGGCTCTCCGTCAAATTCGATTTTATCTTTGACAAGATCTACAAGTGCGACTGGATCGTCGCAAACCACGCCATTCACCTTCACTTTTCCGAGCTCCAACAGAATCTCACAGGTGGCCTTATCGGACAGACGACAGTAGACGAGGAGCTTCAAAATGGTGCGAGGAATGCGCCCGCCTACAACGTCATCATTCAGATCTTCCGCCGAGGTGGCGCCCGCTCGTTGCTCCGCGGCTTCCTCACTGTAATGATGTTGAGACGCGGATAAAATATAGGCACCATGGATGTGACACGACTTCTCCAAAACAAGAGCCATGCCTCAGCTTTAACGCTGCGACATATTCAATCAAGCATGTTTATCAAGAGGAGAATTGCCTCAACAAGTTATGAGGCGCAACTACAGATGTTGGCCCCTGCCCCGTACAACTCGACAAGCGTGCACAAAAAGTAAGAGTTGTGAAGCCATCGACAGCGCCTCTTCAGCCCATGTTTCGCCTCCCCCCCTATACCGCATACTTACATGAAGTCCTCTTTTCGCACTCGCTTCGTGAGGCGACTGATTTCTTCCAACACCTCTTCCTTTCTGTCCACTTTGCGACGTTGATCCTCGTTCAAATCCTCATACGAAATCCTCTCGAGCTGTATCACAAACATTAGATGCTTCCATGAGCCACGGCATTCATATGATATGTATCGAAGTAGGACGACATACAACACACGTGTGTGCCCCATCTCAGCGTTTAAGCCTTTTCTTACCTCAAGAATGCTGGTCAATTTTCTGTTAAGGTTGATCAGCCTTTTTTCAGGGTCTTTGGATGCCTCGGCTCCATCATTTGTATTTCTTCGCCTGCTTCCAAACTTCCCACCCGTGTTGCTGTTTCCCCTCCCCGTTCCACTGCCTCCGCCCCCCCGTCGCCCCTGCCGCTTAACCCTCAAAGGCTGTACGCTTGCTCCGCTTCGTATCCGCCAAGACGTTGGTGTTCGAAGGGACTGTGGCAAGAAAGCTACAGTTGTGTGGACCAGGCAAAGGAGGACAAAGACGAAGAAAAGTTGTGGAGTGGACCGCTTCGTGGTGGTGCCCCTGCTGACCATTCGCCTATCCGCAAGCAGATTAAGAAATCGCAAGCCGTATTCGGGGTCCGCAAGTGGACCGCTATATCACCAGTTTCACGATGTACTCTGCCTACCATTACGGTGTGTGGTGTATTTACGGGAGTGGAAGCAGTCATGATCAGATTGTTGGCAAGATAGGGCAATGCCGGGGGTGACCGCCGAAGGCAAAGTCAACGTCAAGTCGCTCGCAGTCAGAGCCGTTGCTATGCCTGGCCCAGGCATAACCGGGTTTCCCACCAGCGGTGAGAACGCTGTGGTGTCTTCGCATTGGCATCCCTTTATCCATGAATGCTTGTGGCTGAGGAACCAGATCGGTGATTGTATTTGGGAAAATTTATTACTCATACACCCTCCCACCCACACGTGGATAGGGTGAGAAGGAGCCGCTACTTGCCCTCGTCCAACGGGGCTCGGCTGCGACGACAATGTTGCAGATTGGCGAGTATGAAAACAGCAAAGAAGCTCAAAACGTTTCGTTTTTGAAAGCCGTGTTGCAGGAGCGTGTCGATTTTCTAAATGGGGAGGTAATGCTGTTGCGGAAAGACCTCAAATCTAGTCTTCGCGCCAAGTCCTCGACCCAGAAATATCAAAAACGCCTACACACCTTGGTAACGAAGGTTCGCGAATCGGAAACAGCACTGTACGCATATAATTTGGCATTAGATAAGATAAGGACTTCAACAGATCCCGCTCAGCTTCGCCACTACCAGAAACAGCAGCAGATAGAGAATGCGGGGAGGCGCAAGGTCCTCTATGAGAGGGCCTTGCTGCGACGAGAGCTTGAGGGGAAAGCACGCGCACTATTGGATGAAGACAGGAGAATGATGGAAATGCTGCGGGGAAATGTGCGTCAGTATTTGGATTTAGAGCGCTTTCAGGTATTTGAAGAATCGCGACTGCAGCGGGATATGCTCATGAAGGAATTGTGGAAGCAAGAAGAAGAACACCTCGTTCAGGGAATGGGGGCCAATTTGCAAGATGCAGCGCTCGGAAAGGAGGGGCAACAAGCCACTTCTACTGTTCGTCAGCTCTTTGAAGAGGAAAAGAGGGAGGAGCTGTGTTCGCCGCGGTAAGTTGCGTGCGTGATATTGGACGCGATATAGGAGGGTTGACGGATCGGGGAGTCCAGCTTACATTTTGGGCATGTTTTTCCTCGTCAGAGAAACACGATTTTGCTGTGTAAGGGAAAGACTTGCCTCATGATGCTCAAAGTCACGTTCTTTTTCACGCGCTACGCAGGCAGAAGGTAGCTGACATGCTGAGGAGAGTGACCCGGGTGGAAGACGTCCGGCGTATCGGAAGGAGAAGGCACATTCAGGCAATAGACACGGGAAATCGAAATGAGTGGAGTGATGAGAGGGACCGGGAAGGTGGGGGACGAGAAGTTCCCAGCGAGGGCGGTAAAGCCGGAGTAGGGCTTGAGGAATCGAGGAAGGAGAGGGAAAACTTGATGAGGTTGCGGGCAGTGGAAAGGCGCATCGCCATGGAGATGGACGAATTGGAGTCTCAGGCGGATTATCTACGATCGGAAATGACAGCTTGCAGATGGGTCTTCGAGGAGGAAAATAAAAGGGGAACCGGAGAGAGGGAGGGCGGGCAGCTCAAAGAGGATTGTCTGTCGCTAGTGAGACGTTTGAACGCCCTGCACTGCACCGCTGGAATGATCATGAGATGAAAGAAGAGCACACATGGATTAAGAAACATGGTGCAAATGGAACGTTTGCGAGACACAGTTGGGACTGAATTATGTGATTTCTCGCCAACGCTGTTGATTTGTGCATTTTTGTAATTTCTTTGCGGCATGTCTTTGAGGTACTTCTATCGAGCCCTCACATACATTGAATTGCCAGGATGCACAAAGCTTCAAGTCTTTAAATGCCTGAGTGTACGCTGCTACTTTTGCATCTCCAGTGGTTCAAGAGGCTGCAGATTATTGGGTGCAAGCCATGTGATTTTCTTCCGTGAAGAGATATAGGCCACACCCTTTCCGCCAAAGACGGGCCTGTGTCTCGCTCCCTGTCATACCGTGCTTATGCGTTCCTTAAAACTTTTACCTTCAGTGACTATGCACATTTCTTCGTGCTCGTCATGCTCGCCTTTTTTCATTACACTCAAGCGAGCATGGACAGCAATCCGCAGTTGGTTGG